CGGGCAGTAACAACATGCAAGCATCTAACGTGTGTATGTGTTAAAGTGGCTTCTGCAGATGGAAGAAAAGATTTGATAGAATGCAATGAGGAAGAAGCAACACAGCGGGGTAGAATCAAAGGAGGAGGTTCTGACAAAATAAAGTGCGTTCAGAGGATGTTCTCTGATGAATGAAAACAGAAAAAAAACAAACGATCACACTTAAAGATAAAACAGAAATACAAGGCTGTTAGGATATTAGACACTAATATCCAGAATGAAGTGAGTCCTGTGAAAAATGCTGTTTGCCAAAGAATGTTTACCCCGTCATGGAGAAGAGTAATAAATATCTCATTTTGTGGTGTCTGTGCTCTGTGGACTGGGCTCTGCTCATCCAACTATAGTGTTTTCAAAGCCTATCTGTAGACTTTCTGACTCTCCTCTCACTGAGTGTTCAGCCTATGTCTCCTCTCTGTAAATCTCAGCCAATCTGAGTCACTGGTTGGCTAGAAGAGCAGGGAAGAAGGGATGCTACATGACTTATGAGGAGATTCAGCAGCATCTGATTTAATACATGGCAATAGGTAACTGGAACACTGGTGAGAATTTCAGACCCACGTAGGCACCTAGAAAACTCATTTGCTGAGGTAGGGCATTTAACTTTTGGGAGACCAAAGGACAAAGTTCAAGTGTGAGAAGTATAAAGCCTAAGGAGTAAAGGTAATTTAAAAGTCATAAGTAAGTCACAAAGTCAGAGTGAAGAGAGAACAGTCTGTAGAGCAGAAGCATTTATAAGCGCATTTTATGAGCAGTACAAATGTAATTGAGTCAGGATTGGTATGGCAAGTCATACAAGGCACATTTTCACATGTGGTAAGAAGTATTCCAAAGGAGCTACTAGTCCCAGATAATATTAAAGATATGAGGCTGGGGATGTCAGTGAAAGAGCACTTGCTTAGCATCTATAAGGTCCTTTTCACCTTCCTCAATGCCAAAAAAAAAAAAAAAAAAAAAAAAGTTAAGGGCAATAGAACTACTTAACTGGCTTAATTTCTATGTTTTCTCCACTAAATACTGCCACACAGGGAAGGGCTGCACTAACTCTATGGTTTTAGAAATAAGGTATATGAGGAATATATAAGAGCACTGACTACTCAAAATAGTGTAAGGCTCATAACCTAGATGAGGTACATTTCTCAGATACTAGAAGAGCTTTGGGATAAGGAATAACTGTCAATAATTTCTGACGAAACTTGAGAATTAGGTAGGGTTGACGATTGGCAAATGTCTTATTCTCAAAACAGAGGTGAACTGCCAAACGAGTTAGGCAAGCTTCAAATTTTCTATCTGGGATAGATATCTGGAGTACCTTCTAGAACAAATCCTTAAAGAGATGATTTGCAAGTGTCCAGTAAAGAAGTTAGCATGAGAAGATGAAGTGATTGGCCTGAATTTCTGCATGAATTTGCCAATTTCTATGAAGGGGAGCTGGGCACACAGGATAGCTATAAGCAAAGAGTTATTTCTAAGCCATGAATTTATGTCACCCAAAAGGTAGGCCTCCTAAGTCTACTGTAGTCCTCAGAGCTTGGTGCTGTAGTATACAGAGCGTCATGCAATGATTTGGAATAAGGGTCTGCAGACTTGAAGGAAGGTTGATGCTACAGGACATCCCAAGATGAGATGGTTCAGCAATGTGTTCAGTGATGGAATTCACACCAAAAATGATTATGACTAGTAGTAATATTGGCTGTGTTTTAACAAGAAGGAATTCACCAGAGAAATTATAAGCTTTTGTATTTAGACACCCATTCCTAACCCCCAATGGAAAAAGTTCAAACACTCAAAAATTGTACTCTTCCAAAAAAAGAACAAGACAGAAAAACGTGGTTTAGGCAAATGGAAAAGATTCAAAAGCTGTCTAAATTTAACAGCTCAATACAACTTAATAGTGGGATGTGGCTGCCAAAAATGCAGCTGTGATGGAGCATTGTGTTAAAATATTCAGAACAGAGGAATGTGAGGAGGGAGCTCTGGTGTTTGTTCTGGAAGTAACACAAGATAGGAGGTACTATTCACAGACCGAAACCAGCCCAGAAGGAAGTGACCATTATGGTAAGGGGAAAGAGAAACTATCATATGGAAAAATGGAAAATGACTAAGAAAAACCATGTATTTAGCCAGGACAAGAATCTATACAGTTTGTACTACAGGAGGAGGATTTAAGAACTGAAAGGCTAGCAGTGAAGAGGTGGGAATGAGTGGGAGCTATAAAGAAACTCAGTACAGTTAAAATCTATGTTCTCAATCTGAGAGCTATGAAGATTTGTCAAGAATTGCAAAGCGATTAAGAACAACATCTACAAAAACAGGACTTTCTATCACTACTTTATCATACTTCTTCCTTAAAACAGAAAGTACTTTAATGAGGAAGAAATGGAGAAACAGAGACGTCAAGTAACTTTCTCAAGAATAACTAGCAGATAGGAGAGAACAAACACTAAAACACAGATCTGCTTTGTTCTAAATTGTGCAAAAAGCTGGGGATACTGCTCAGTGGCACAGCACCTGGCTGCCAAGTGCAAGGTTGCGAGTTTGATTCCCAGCACCAAAAAACAAAAACAAAAAAAATGGAACATAGTGCATGTGTTCTTTCACTACCCCAGTCTTAGGTGTGACAGCTCTTTTCAGGAAAAGATGGTGTATCAAACTTTAAACCAATAGAGGAACATGGAATCTATAGACTAGAGCAGTTAGCTAATGAATCCTCTGTGAATATCAAACACCAAAGCTATATATACCAGTTCTCAGTTTGTAATGGCTTTTCTGATAATGGCTTTAAATGTAGTTTGACACTAAAATTCATTTTAGAAGATCTAAGATCTACTTTTAAAAAGTTTAAGTTCTTTTAATTGTGTTGCAAAACAATTAATTTCTATCCTTTAAAAAGCCAATACTTTTCAAATTCCAAGGGATTAAATTTAAAATTACTTTATATAATTTATTGCTATGGGAAATTCTTTTAATTTTTTTTTGTGGGATGGGGTGAACTCCAATCCCAAAACAGATCTAAATTCATGTTCTTGATTTCTGTGATGAATTTTGGGTCTATTATTACATCATCTAACTTTATACATATTTCTTTTGGGAAATTTTAACTATTTGGATCATTTGTGCTGTCATGAGATGAAACCTGCTTTTGCCCATTAATGTATACATACCAGGTACCATTGGAAAACTGGGCAATTTTCTGCTACTTCTTTAATCACTTTTAAAAATCAGTGTTTACTGTTAGGCAACTATTAGTTTAGCTTCACTTCATATGCATTGACTTTGGGAAAGACTGAACCTATATAAATCACTCCTGCATGAATTCAGTGTGAATAAAGGAATGTACCAGAGGTGAAGAGCATGGTAACACTGGAAGATAGAAATCTTAGATATCTTGTTTTTTTGTTTGTTTGTTTTTTGTACCAGGATCCAACTCACAATCTCATGCTTGCCAGGGAAGTGCTTATGCTGCTGAGCTAAATCCCTGGCCCTTGTTTTGTTTTTCTTAAAACCTCAAATTGTACAGCTCCTTGTAATGACTAATACTCGTCTCTGTATTCTTGGTCTCTATCACTACCTCTCTGACACACAGTTTATAGGGTATAATCTCTTCCTGTTATCTTCTCATCCTGATACTTTATACGTCACTGACTTTGTGTTAGACTTGTATTTTACATTTTCTTTTTCATCCTTGGTGACCTCATTTGGGCTTTGTTTAGTTAGTTACCGGAAGATACACTCCAAGCCTTGCAGGAACTGTTTGACTTTATTTTTTGATTTCAGTTGTTACTGCTTCCTAAATAACCAAAAGGATTATACCACTAGAGGTGAACACCCTCCCCACCTTCTTCCAGAACTCTGAAGATTGAAATGTCTTCCACCCTCAATCCCTTTCCTTGGCTACATGTTGTAGCCAGCATTGATCCAAATGATAATCACAGATTGAGTCAATATACCTATAAGAATTCAGGAGGGTTTGCCTGCTTGTGACTAGATCAATTGGTAAGTGTCTTTGTATTTCTTTTGTTTTACTCCTTGTCCAATCCCAGTTTGTTTGAATATGATATAGTTTGTGGTTGATTAAAATATTAGTATGCTTATGTCAGTAAATGCAGAAAACATGTAATAAGTTCACAGTCTTATCCAAGAAAGTATGTAACATTATTATGAAACCATTTCAGATTTATAATTCCTACAGAACAGCAGATGACCATGGCGTATATTTAGTACAGTTGTAAAACCAATGCAATATTGAATATTCCACAGTAAGGAAACATGTAAAAGCTTTATCTACCAGTATACCAATAATTATCTCAGCTTCTCAGAATCTGTTAAAGTAATATAGTTAAAAAAACATATCATTTCTATAACTTCAAAGATTTGGGGCCAGAGGTATAGCTCAGTGGTAGCAGACTAGTCTAGCATGTGTAAGACCTTCAGTTTGATTCCCAGAACTTAGGGGAAAAAGTTTTAAAGCATGATCATTTCTTTGTGTTTGTTTGTTTGTGGTACCAGGGATCAAACTCAGAACCTCGCACTTGCCATGAAGGGTGCTTATGCCAATGAGCTAAATCCTCAGACCTTTACAGCACAATCTTTAAATCAAGATTAATTCTACTTTTTAAAAAGCACCAAATTAGGAATCAGAAGAGCTAACATCTATTTTGACTCACCTACTAGTAAACCTTGAGCAAGGCCTTCCTCTCTGAGTCCCCACCAACGTTATAGAATGGCTGTGGTGTCATGAGCAACACCTGTGGTTAACTACCTGCTACAGCACTTCCATCCCCTGCAATTAGTTTTTTTGTTCACAGGGATTCTGTTACCATTATTGCCAGTTGTGTCTTGTAATTACATGATTTATAAATTGATGAGATAATAAAAAAGTCATTTTTGTTCCTATGACAAGTGAGATAAAAGCTGTGGGGAAAAAAGGCTGTGGGAAGATGATAAAGGTGTTATTTGCAGATTATTAGAAGTGGGTTAGATATTTGTAAAAAACTAGGAAAAAACTATTAGACGGGTCTGTTTCACGGGCATTTTGGACTCTCATTAGCATAAGATCACTTCACAAAAACTAGAGACATGGAATTTTAGGATGTGCTGAGGTGGAATGAATTTTGGATGCCAATTTACCTGAGGGCCAGCTGCTGGCTACATTTTCACAGCTTCTGATTCTCAGATTTTTAATTTCCCACTGTTTTTTTACTTCCCTTATATAGAAGAGAATTTTACTTCTGATAACCCTAATGCTAAATGTGCTGTACTTTGGGGTCCCATCATTTAAATTTGAGGCCTATGACTATAAAGTGAATCAGAGCCTATAGTTTTACATTTGTTCTGTATGAAAAATCTGTCCAAACAAAACTTCAATTTTCCTAAATCAGCAAATAATTTCCATTCAGGAGTGGCCTTCTTGCTGTGCATATTCCTTGGAGTCCCACGCTTTGATTTTGGCCTGCCAATACCTGTCTTATCTTTTCAATTCATTGATGCTGTTAGGAGAGACTAAAAATGTATTACAGCTTGTTTTCAGTAACCAAGCCAGCTGCTATTACCTGGGTAATATTCATCTGTAGGCTTTCTAGAGGCCACTTTTCCATGATAGAGAATCCAAATTGCCTTCTGAACTTGGTGTGTTCTTCTGGAAGAGACTAATGCCAAGTCTGAGGGCCTCAAATGCTACAATGCAAGCTTTTTTCTAAAACAAAGCAAAACCAAACCAAACCAAACCAAACCAAACCATGGGACTTCTTGTGTTACATTTATTCTGTCTTTACCACAATAAAAGAGCTTGTCAAATTTAGGTAGACAAATAGCTGATAGGTGATGGTTTTATACTGTCTGTAGTTTTTATCTTTACTTTGTCAGTTGTTTGGAGGATAAATTTATATAAATCATCGAATATAGCTGTGTGATGATAGAAATAAATGTTCTGTAATCTATAAATTGTTCACACATAACTAGTGAGCACCTGATCTGTGGCTGGTGCCACGTAGGAATTAAATTATTTTATTTTAAATAACATAAATAGACGTGTGGCTAGCACCTATATGGATGGTACACATTCTAAACAAATTGCTTCATGGTACCCCAAGGTAATTATTGGTTACATAGGAAAGCTATATAAAAATAGTTTTGTGACTATAGTCAGTCTTTTCTCCAGAAGCTGTTTCCTGTATATAGATCATGAAATGAAAGTAGAAGAAACTGCTATTCATGGAATATTTTCAATTAATTGAACAAATATTTATTGAACCTGTATTATTAATGAAGCAATACACAAAGCACTGAAAAATAGTACCATATACCTAATGATTCTTTTATTTTCTATGTAGATGATGACTGATAAATGATTCTAAAAATAGGCTTGACAGTAAAATACTTGATTATTTCAACTTCTCCTGGGTATATTTATTTGAACAGCTATAAGCACATACTTAAATATTAGTTCTTTAAATACTCTGAAGATGAGAAAAAGACAAATGTTCCATGGGTCAAATTGTGTGCTGGCATATTAAAGGGTCTTAGCATTCCCACATTGAAAATAGTTAACTTTTTCTAATTCAAAGCTTACCAAAAATTTTTTCCATGTCTCACGAAATGCTTGTTAACATTAATTCTATGGAACATATTTTGGGAATTAGAGATTTATGCTAAGGAATTTTACAAAACATACATAACCAAAAGCACCAAATCATCTAGTATATTGTCTTGCAAAGTGGTATTTGAGGATTTTAGAAGGCATGGATATATTCTCAGTAGTTTGCAACTTCTGTAGAGAATTTGAAAATAATATGATTTAAATTACATGATAATCTTAGAATGCTAATATAAGCAAGTTATGAATCATATTAAAGACATTTTAATAGAATATTGCCACATTACTTCTCCTAAGATTGGCCTGTAATTTTCTTAGGTTGGATTTTGAAAAAATACAGTTGGGCTTAAATTATCACGTATTCAATTGAAGACCAAATAATGGGAAGGTAGCCTGTAAAACAAAGGTTTAAGAGATACACAGTGAGAGAACTGAACTATCATATGACAAAATTAAAAGTATGTTTTATCTCAAGATCTCTTCTGCAGCAAATATTTCAATATTTATGTCATGCATTAATTTAAATAAAATGTCTTTTACATTACTATTTTAAGCTTATCTATTTTATGGTTTTGCAAATACTTGTTTTATAGATGTGTACAAGCCTAATCTTAAGAATTTTCTATCTAGTTTTATGTTTAGAATATTATAAAAATTGTAGGTTTAAGTAATTTTATAAAAATACTTATAAGTCAAAATTAGGGGTACAGAAAATTTATGTGGGAACATTGTTTCTAGGGTATCTCCATTACATTTCTGAATGCATCATATAGCATCCTTCTGAAATATTTAGTCAATATCTAAAATTGGTTTGCATTCCAAAGCTATGTATCATCTGTTAAATTTACGTTGTGGCCAGGGAAAGTCTGGGAAGGATTAAAAACTCATCTTGGATAATCATGAACTGACTGTGCTTAATATCACTGCAGATAAATAAAAACATTATTGACATATTCAAGTATGGTAATGCTGGAATTTTTTCTCCCTATTATCTTTTGTAAAAAAATTTATACATAGCATACATATTATAGAAGGCATGGTTTCAAATATCTGAGGCAGTCATTTCAGATCTTTATCTAGACCTATTTTTGTAGTTGACTTTCAGATGCACATTCCCACTGCTGAACTAGACATTTCTACCTCAAAGTTTGAAGTATTTTAAACTCATTTAACCCAAAGTTCAATTCTTGCACTCTGCTCTAGGTCAATGGTGTTACTTCCATTCACTTTCTCACACTTAAAACTTTGAAGGTGGTTTCCAGTTCTTTCTTTTCATCACCAACATCAGTGGTCAGCAAATCTTGCCAATTTTCTTTGTGACCTGTGCCACTGCTTTAGTTCAAGGCTCGAAGGCTTGCACCATCTCTCAGGTGACAAGTGCAATAGCTGCCTACCCAGATTGCATGCTATTAGTTACTCTTCATATCACTCTAGCTTCAAATAGAACATATCTGTCTTCACCAATGGCTCTCAGTTAACTTGTGTCTGTGTGGCTGGCCTAGATTTGTTTGCTGAGACTTCCGCCTTACTGGTTATGAATTTATTGAAGGTAAGAACTCTGTCTCATTCATCCTCTTGTCTTGGTGTTTAACAGCTTCCAGAAATAACTGTTTACTCTATGCTACTAAGTAGCAAACAGCACGGGTTTTGGAATCAAACAGATCTAGGTGGAATTCATGCCTCCTTTACCACTTACTTAACTGCTAAGTAATGTTGGACAAATTAAGTTAAATCAGTGATTTTCAAGTTTGCCTGCAGTAGAATTACTTTAGGATTACATTAAAAGGGCCCTCTTTCACCTAAATCAGAATATACAGAAGATGGGGCTCAGGCTGTAGCAGTTTTAACAGATCTACAGGTGATCATAATATGTAGCCGAGGTTGAAAATCACCTCTCTTAGCCTTACCTTCTCACTTACTATTTTATGTGTGTTTCGAAGGCGACTGGGGCACCAAAGACAGAATTACTATAATACAGTACCTGGCACACAATAAGTGGTCAATTGTGACATTAGTAAACAAATTCAACTTTCCTTGTTAACTGCTACTTCCTAATTAGTGACTCTGCCTTTTTTTCACTTCTTGGCATGCACAAAGTTTCCAGGGTTTTGCTTTCACACTTCCTCATATCCTGCTCTTCGCAGATAGCCCTCAATCTTCAAGTGACACTTGAAGTCACACATATTCTCCATCTCAGAGAACTTGTCTCAATTTGCAATTACATATTATTTTAACCACTTACTGTGTGTCTCCCACTGGACTGTCAACTTCATAAGTGAAGGCCTTGTTTGTTGCATTTTCCTTCTAATATCCTGGTACCTGCTAGGTTTCAGGTGATACCTCCTAAGGGATAAATGGATTGATAAATTCATTCAGCAATTTTAAAAAGGTTTTTAAAAAGGCAAAGAAATTTTTAAAAAGAAGAAAAGGGCAATATTTCTTGACTTTCTTTTGTCTTTCAACTATATGTTATCCGCCATAGTCCATTTGGTATTGCTACTGTACAACACCTTAACCTGGATACTTTATACAGAACAGGTTTATTTAGCTCAGCTTTACAGGCTGAAAGGTTAAGTTCAAGCAGCCCTAACTCTCAGGCCTCTGGTAAGGGCATTCTGCCTACATTACAATACAGTGGATGGCACCATGATAGCAGCGTGTACAGATAGCCCTCAATCTTCAAAGAAAGTAAATCCATGAAGAATACAACATGATCCTTGCCTTCGAGGCTGAGAGTCAAGAGACACTGAAACCAACAAATGCAATCAAGTGTCATAAACCTTAGTCTATGAATCGGTATAAGGAGAGGAGAATCCACAAGAGGAAGAGATCATATGAGACAGGAAACAGGAGATTAGGGACAGGAAGGGGTCAGTGTCATTCTTTGTATAACAAGTTGCTTTCTTGGAAACCAATCTACTCCCACCAGATCCTAATTAAACTAACCACCATTAATCCATTCATGAGGGTAGTGTCTCTATAACCTGATTACCCTCCATTTGAATTCATCTCTTAAGGGTTCTATGACCTCAAGCTTCTAGTACATGAACCTCACATCTAAATTATAGCAGCATCCCACATTAAAATATTGTAACAAAAACAAAACCATCCATGCTAGGACATTTTCTAATATTCTGGATCCCAGCTATTAAGTAGAAAAATTGCCATGTAGTTAAAAAAATTTTTTGAATGGTTTTGAATTGGGTAAAGTTTCCAAGTTCAAGGTTCTTAAAAACTTATTGTAAGGCTTAAGTTAATCATTTATCCTTAGGCAATAATTAACTTTAGTCTAACAATATCTCACTCTGACATGGCAAAAAAACTTTTGTGGAAACCTCTGAAACTATAGAATTGTCAAATCATTGTTATTTCCAACAGTGAATTCATCTAATACCTCATTTTACCAATAAGAAGATGCACGCCTACCTAAACAAATTTATTGTACATAATTTATAATTACACACATGCTGTCTCAGAGCCAAAGTATAATTTAGGTTTCAAGAATCCTTCATCAGCATTCCATTGACACTGCATCAAATTCAAAGTAATCCAAAGTTGCTAGGATTCTCAAAGTTCTTAACCAATTTATAATCTGGCATCAATTAATTTAGGCTTTTAATGTTTCCATGAAAACAAAAATTCATTCCAAATTCATAAGCCTGATATTCAAATCTCATATATCTTACTGTACATCCATCCACATGCCAGGTTCCATAATCAATTCATGTTTTTCCAATTCTTGAGCTTGCAACAGAATGCATAGCTTCACTATTGCTGCATATAGATCTTCAATACTAACTGAAAAACCTAATCAAAGAAGACTACGGTCCTTGTAGCTCTCCTAATGATTTTATATTCAGTCTTGTACTTCAAGGAACCATTGCACTGAATATAAGAATCATGGTAACTAATGCTACATGATTCTTCTTAGATCTCTGTTTCTCCTTGTAATTAATGAGTCTGTACATTAACATAAATTCTGTAGGCTACAGTCTTCAATCAGGTTTACCTTGAAGGCAGTGTGTAAGTGTTGAAAAAGTTGGATACAGAGGGGCATGAAGTGAGCATATAAAACTCAGGTTTCAAAAAGAGCCATTTTGAAGTTACTGTCTCTTTTCTGGGCACTTTTTAAAAACAAATGCCTAATACATTTAGTATAATTGGCCCAGTTTTCTAGATTGGCAAGTAAAAACCTATAGGAACTAACTTGAAGAATTACAAAAAGCAAAGATTATATAGATACCCACCTAGAAACTTCTGTTACAAACTTAGTTTGTCTTTTACTTTTCAGAAATAAATGTTCTAATAAAAAGATCAGGGATGGGTATGTAGCTCAGCGGCCCAGTGCCTGCCTGGTCAATGTGAGGTCCTGAGTTCAATTCCCAGTACCAAACACAAGCAAAAAACCCAGAAACATAAACTTTCATATCCTTGAGTTCTGACTTAGTAGGTATGGGGACCTGGGTTTGATCCTCAGCACGACAAAAACAAAAACAAAAATCATGTCATTTACCAGTTCAGAATGAAAAAAAAAAATCCCCAAACCAAAAAACTATTATGCAATTATTTTAGGTCCATATTTCATTTAAAACTATTCTCTAGGCCACTGTAATATGTCCACATTCATAATACATTTTGGGTTAAGCCACCCAAAAAGGTGATATATGGAATAGCTTAGTAATGTAAAACAAGAGACATTTTGTTTTCGTCTTTAAAAATATTTGTTAATGATTGTCCTCTGGCTTTATATATGGCTTCGTTCTACACTTGAAATTGCTTCCATTCAAAACAAAAGTTCATCTGCACAGTCTCCAAAGATCTGTGTGTGTTGGTTTATGTTCCAAAAGCATGATTTTAGATTCATCAGAAATAAGCCTTCTGACAGTAAGAGGTCTGTAAAATATGTGTGCAACTTGGGAGTAACCTTCTAAAGCCCTTCCTGTGAAAAAAATCCTCGCCCAAATCCATTACCTGTTCGTCTGTGAGAAACTATTAAGAATAAGAAGTGCTGTGGAATGGCGATGACAGAAAAATAGTATGGTACTGTTCCTAAGTTATGACTTGGTATGGAGAATAAAAAGCGCAAAGGATAAAGCTGGGCCAATGTACAGAAGATACAGAGAACCAAGGTCATTTGCGAGAAGAACCTGACCTCCGGCTCTCCAAGGCAGGCAAAACTTTTGGCTCCAAGATTAGGGACACGCAGAGTTATGCAGCACCCTCCCCGCCCCCGTAGCGTGCGTGTGTCGGTGCACGACTCCCTTGCTCCGCCCACAGCGTCTGGGCACCCGTCACAATCCACCACTGCCTGGTCAGCAAACCACAGCACTTCGCGCAGCTTTCCATCCGCCACGGTTCACGCCTCCCGCCAGCTGCCAACTTCCAGCAGAGCGGAAACCCTTTTGCCCCGGCTCCTCCATCCGCCAGCCAGTGCCAGCGAGCGCCGGAAGTTCCTCTGCCCCGATCGCCAGCGCGCCGCGAGCAGGCCGCACAGGCGCAGTGGAACTCGGGCGGAGTTGTGGGAGGGGGGAGGAAGAGGCGGAGAGGGGACGGGGGCCGGTCCCAGAAGATGGCGGAGGCGGGGGTGAGTTGGGGTCTCCCGGCAGAGCGTAGGTGACGTGTGCTGCGGAAAGCAGCCTCACGAAGGGGGTGGCCCTCGGGAAGAGGAACTAGACTTCTGCAGCCTGGGAATGCCAGTGTCTGGCGTGGAAACCCAGGAACAACCGCAGATGGGGCCTGCGGGGCGAGGGGCTCCTGTTATCTGGAGAGAGGTTGGCGAGGTCTAGAAGGGACAACGAGTTTGAGGACAGGTGTTAGGGGAGCACAGTGTCGAAGCACAGTGTCAGAATGGGAGAAGACTGGAGGACGGAGAGCGGGCGGCCCTGGAGATCTGAAGGGGTTGAGGTTGGCGAGCTGTCAAATAGTGAGCTGTCAGGACTTAGAGACTTGTAGCCGGGAAGAAAGACCTGCTTGGGAGGGGGTAGATGAAAATAATCTCGGTATCCCAGCAAATGCAGAATGCGCCCAAATGATGTGACAGTGAGCTGAGGAATAGGACTTTGGCATTTCGAATTGGAATAGTATACTTTTAAATATGTGGGTGAACCAAAGAGAGTTCTTGTCAGGCCCTAGAAATCAGGTGATGACACGTTACCAGGATTTTGGACTTTCAGTTGGGTGGCAATCTGAAAAAGGAAAACAGTAAAGATGGTGGAGGTGGGGCAGGGGACAGTACTAAAACTTAAATGATAATGACCTCGGTACAGTTAATTTTGGGAAAAGTTATTAAAGAATGGTATTAGACAATCTAGGAAAACATACCATAGTTTACTGCTTTGTAGAGATGCTAAAGAAATGCCTTGAGATGGAATTAGTTTCACAGTTGTTCCACCGATAATTGACTAGCTTGGGGTGACTGCTAATCTGTGGAAAAAGTACGATGGTCTTTACTGGTTCTGGGTGAGAGGAGGATGTTGCAGTTGTTAAAATGAATGTGGTTCTTAAGATTTCTAGGAAGTTTTGTGTTTATGTTGAAACACCTGTGCCTGTAGGTCGTTTCAGTGGTTAACATACGCTTTACTTTTCATTAACAATACCCAGAGTCACTTAATATCACCTTTTTATTTTTCTAAAAGTAGTTATGTCAACCCATGAATAGGCTATCCGTCATCTGGAATAATGTTTTTCTTGTATTGGTGATTTGTCATTGTTCTATGTGAACTATGTGAGCTATCCAAAGTATCCACACTATTTTTGTTTGGTCATATACTTCATAGAAATTGCAGATAGGGTTTAAGGTAGACTTTTTCATGTCCAGTGGTTGAACATATTATTTTGGAATTAGTAGTTTATCAACATGATATTAAAATTTCTTTCCTGTGTGGCAGCACTTAAATTGTTTTGCTGTTGTGTTTATAGCCTGAGGCAATGTGGTAAAGTGGAAGGAAGTTAACATGGTGTCAGAATGGTTGGGCCTAGTTCTGGTGGTGCCTGGTAATAGTTTGTGATCTTACGAAGCTAGCTTATCTGATTTTTATAAAATGAGAGTTTAAAACACCTGCCTGTTATTACTGACATTTTTTTTTTGAGGATCCATGGGATATTTTCTGTCTTCTAATTCCTATAGGTACCAGAGACTTTTTCTCTGATCAGCAAAATATTTTTCAAATAATCCAAATTTTTCAAATACATATTTTCTTTTTAAAAATTGGAGAATCAAAGTTTTTTATTCATGCAAGAGTAATATTTAAAGGTATAAATACACTTTGTTTTTAAAAGTATCAGAAAATAATCAGAAGAGCAGAGTTTCAAACAAATTTAGCAATACTTATTCCCTAGTTTTCTCTTTAAAATAACCGACTTCCTTAATGAGTGATATAAACTTTAGGAACTTTATTGTTGCACATAGCTGGTGAATGATTTTGTGGAAATTCCTATCCTTTTAATGAGTCAAGTCATTCCCAGGAGTTCACTTTACATGTTTGTGGTAGTAAGGTTCAGAATACAGTCTTGCTTGTCAATTACTTGACTCTGAATGGCATTTTCCTTGCTGGTGAAGTCAGAGAACTGTTAAGTCACTGATTCCTGAGTTTTTTGGATAATAGAGCTTGAGTACTTAATGTGATCGTTGAACTCTTTCCTTAGAAAAATGCACACGTGTATATATTACATTTTTGTTTTGAATGAGGCACAGATACCCCTTGGAATAGATGAGCTCCTGCTTCCTTTCCAATGCCTTAAATTTTAGAATACTACAATTCTAAAACATCGTAGCATTGATTTCTGCTCCCAGTATTTGTATAGTATTGTATAAGGATGTAGAACAAAGTTAGCTTTTTGGGTTTCTTTTAAATAAACATAAAACAATTGTTGGGGTATTTTAAAAGAAAACTTTAAGAATGAAGTATGCATGAAATTGTAAAAAATTCTACCAGGAAAGGTTGAATAAATATCTGTGGCAGAAAAAAAAATAAACATTTTAAAAAGTCATTGGTAGTCTTGAAATAGAATGGAAAAAAAAGGTTTCTAGCAATCTGTGGCACTCGGGACATTTGTAAGTAATGTGGGCACGGTTTTGGTTATCATACATGACGGAAGTTGACATTTTAATGGGCAGAAACCAGGGATGTGTAATGATATGCAAGGCTTAGGCAGTTTCAGAAAATTGTCCTATCCTGAATGCCAATACTCTTTCACAAGTCCTGGCAAATGATTGTGAGTTGGGAGGTTAGCACAGCTGACATATCTTATAAAACTGAACTTGTTTTGTTCTTTTAGCAATACTATTAACCATGAACTGTCACTTGGCCATTAATTCCCTTTTGGAAAAAATTACAGATGGAAACAAATGCTTTACTCAGGACATACTTATCCCCTTGAAGCTGTAAGGGGTTTGTCTGCCTCGGGCAGTTCGGGAAGCCAATTGGAAAGAAAGTTGTTGGTTTCATATAGTGTTTAAGTTAGTCATTTGTTTTTTGTTTTATTTTGCTTTTACTTTAGAACATCTTTTCCTTTGATCTAGTGGTTTTTTAAAAAAAATTCAATGTTTGTATATTTATTATCTTTGTGCTATCTATCAATTCCTTGAGACATGCTGCAGTTGCATTGGTTTTATAATGTTTAACCATCTCTTCAGTAACCACATAATTTTATGTAGGTGTAAGTAGTTAAAGTGGAATGGGACTTAGGATATAGAGGAAAGAGAATGGATTATGGGATCAGTTAAACCTAAAGTAAAATTCCAGTTCTAATCCTGCATGTCCTGTGACCATTAATAATCGAGTTGCTAAATCTCTTTGACTTAGTATCTTCATAGGTAAAATCCTAAAGGTAGGATTATTTTGAAGACCACAGTTACTGTATGTCTAACACAAAGGGTAGGCTATCAATTAATGAGTACTCTGTCATTGATGATGATGATGGTGATGCTACTAATGCTATGAATGTCCAGAACACATGACATGTTAATATACCTGAATGTCACAGCATGGCAATGAACGGTCTGAATACCAGGTCAGGTGAAGATGTTTTCAGGACATTTTCAGGTGGCATTTAGAACTTTCCCATGAATCCACTGTAATATTTACTATTTTCTCCAGTCCTTTAAACTGTGGGGTTCAATTATAGACTAAGTAGATTGGTGAGGATCAGCTTAGGGAGAGTGTTGGGCACAGAACTTTGAGTATGGCAGAGGCTTATTTAAACATCCAAATGTATATCATGTGGAACTAATAGACTGTGGAAGTTACTAGTACTTACAGATATCATTATAATGATAATTTGTTTCTGTCTTTTTTTTTTTTTTTTTTTTTTTTTTTTTTTTTTTTTGTGCCAGGAATCAAACTAGGACCTTGCATTTGCCAGGCAGATGTCAGGTGCAGTGATACTGACTTATATTTCCTGGGCCATAATGGTTATTTCTAATGTTACCTTTATTTCCTGGAATTTATACATTGAATTTTGTTCTAAAATTCACTCATAATATAGCTTGAAAATTAGAAACTTAGAGGTAATATATTTTAAATGATGATTGGGTTCTAAGTCGCCTTCTAAAAGGCCTGCTTAACCCACTGTAGTTTGGTTCAGGTTAGTACCCTCAGGGCTGGGGATTTAGCTCAGTGGCATAAGCACCTACCTGGCAAGTGCGAGGTTGTGAGTTGGATCCTTGGTACTGAAAAAAGTTACCCTCATTTAATTTAACAAGTAGGAATGTATGGAGCTTCCACTGAGTGCTAAGCAGGCAGCTTTCTGGGTATAAAAACACAGGGGGAGATGTTATAGTGCATAACATTTACATAGAAAGTTTATAATCCATAAAGCCAACTGTACATATGATTATAAGGTAGTTATTACAAGTGCTATGATTTTAAATACTGTTTATGTCCTGACTTGTAAAGATACACCCAGCTTGGTAAGATAAAAATAAAGTGCAAAATAGCAATTGTAGTATTTTCCTACTTAAAAACTACTAGTATTTGTCTAAAATAAATACAAAACTATGCAACCATTCAGGGATCAGAACATGCTAAGAACAAGGATTTGGAGTCATGTGTTTGACTGGCCCTCCTCTCACTATGAATGTAGACTTGATCAAGTTTCTTTAACCTTTCTTTGCTATTTTGACTTACCAGTAAAATAGAATAATTGCACTTGATCTTGAGGTTATTATTAGGGTTAAATGAGTTACCATATGTAAAGTACTTAGAGTGTCACACAGAAAACCTCACATTGTTCGTGGTAAGTACAGGCAGAGGAAAGATCATTGTATTAGTTAATTTTCCATTACTATAACAAATTCTTGAGGCAGGCCAGCTGTACCAAGAAAAGAGGCTTATTTATTTCATACTTCTAGTGATATAAGGCCGTGATGTCAGCATCAGTTCTGCTCATAGCAGAAGGCAGAAGCACAGACTGAGGGAAAATCACATGACCAAGCAGGAAACCGGACAGGTGGTGAATCCCACAGTCCCTTCCAAGAGTAGTGTCCCGATTGACCCAAGGGCTTCCCACCAGGATCCACATCTTCAAGTCCCATTTGCCAATATCAGCACACTGAGGCCCAAGCTCCCAATTCCTGAATCCAAACAATATCCTAACCATAGCAACACTTTTGTCAGGAGTAAACAAATACTTAGACTGACTATAGTAACAGAGTTCTGTGTATTAGAACAGGGGTCCTGTGGGTCTGAACTTCTCAGAATCTAGTCATGAAGTTGTTCTTTTCTTACCTTCTTTTTCTCTTCCTCCTCTTTCTTTTCTGCATTTCCTCCTTTTCTTTCTCTTCCTCCTCCTGATCCTCCACCTTGTCCTTCTCTACCTTCTCTTCCTCTTATTCCTCCTCCTTCTCATCCTCTTTCTCTTCCTTCACCTCCTCTTCTTCTTCTTCCTCTTTCTGGCTTTCTCAGAGTTACTTTCATGATTGTAGCTAGGGTTAAAATAGGAGTTGGACCTAGCTGTGGCCCAGGGGAGTGTGATCAGATCTGGCTTATGTGGCTGCTGTATGTATAGGTGAGTTCATGGTGGCCTAGCTATTATAGAATGCTTTTGTGCAGCAATTCAAATATGTAAACATTAAACATTGAAATAGAACATTTTATTCTTCTGTAGAATTGTCCTCATGAGCAAGTCACATTTTATTATGTAAACTACATTATCTTTAGTTAGTCTGTTGATTTTCTGTAGAGTATAAAATACTGTACCTGATGGGCTTGATAATTTAGGTGAAAGATACAAAGACCTGTCAGAAATAGCTCAGATTACCTGCTCTATTTTTCTATGAGGTAGGATAAGATGTTTTTAATATTATTGTAATCTTTGGATCTCTTAGGTCACTTATTTTATCCTAGTAAACACTTCATTTTTTTATTGTCATGTATAAAATATTTTGGAATATTTTCTTATTCAATGGTGCCTAATTTAAATAAATTAGTATAAAACCTGTCATTTCATTGTCTTTTAAAATTACCTAGTAGTGTAATAAAAAATATATGATCACATATTAGATACATATTGATTCATTTTTTTCTTTATCTTTTGCAGGATTACTGGTAGGTCCCTTTGGACAATATGTAGCACTATTGAAACATCGGTCTGCCTTTATTCACAGATAGTTGAGCTTTTCAGCTGGAAAGCCTTTCCTTTTTTCTTTCAGCTTACTGAACTTATGAAACTATGGCAGAAGGAGAGACGGAGTCACCTGGCCCCAAAAAGTGTGGCCCATATATCTCATCTGTCACTAGCCAGAGTGTAAACTTGGTGATTCGAGGAGTAGTCTTGTTTTTTATTGGAGTGTTTCTTGCATTAGTGTTAAATTTGCTCCAGATTCAGAGAAATGTGACCTTATTTCCACCCGATGTAATTGCGAGCATCTTTTCTTCTGCGTGGTGGGTACCACCATGCTGTGGCACAGCTTCAGGTACGTATAGAGTGTTTTGGCAGTGCCTAGAAAGGGTTGTGGATGTTGTCTCACCAATAAACTTTTAAAAAATCAACTTTATTGAGGTATAATTTAAGTACAATGGAAGACCATCATATGAACCTACTATAAGTAATCGATTTGAAGCATTTGAACAAGATGTGTGTAGTCACAGAACCACAGCCAACAGTCCAGCTATAGGATGTTTCTGTCATCCTTCAAGTTTTCTTCTTCCTATTGAAGTCCATTACACACCCTCAGCCTCAGGCTTCCATTGATCTGATTTGTGTTGCTGAAGATTTTTGCCTCTTCTGAGATGGAATATCAATGTAATCATTGATTTCTCTGTTTTTCTCATTCTGTGTTTGGTTTCTTTGTGACCTTTAAAATTTAACCCTAAAAATTAAACTGATTCCCTTTGTGATAAAGCTTGATTTTGTTGTTTCTTCAGTTTGTTAGTTATTTTGTTAAAGGTCACTGCTGTTAGGTCTTAAGAGTTTGATGTATGCACTGTGTTTTATTTAAAAGTACATAATTTGAAAAAAATGGAATGATTTCATTCACTTTTAAAGTTTTTTTTTTTTTAGCTTTTAATTGATTGGTATCTTATTTTTAAATGTACCTCTACAGTAAATATTTAGAGGGACTGATAAGATAATTTCTTTTGAGAATCCTGTTAGTTACTTTGCATGTTTTTTGGGGGGCGGATGATGTGTAATGGATACAGTGGAGTGTTTTAGAGTGCTTTATTTATGCTGAGCTTTCATAATAGATTAGCTTTTTCTAATGACTGACACCAATAAACTACAGTGCTATTTTATAAAGAATATAAAGCAGCCATAATCATATGATAGAAGATAATTATGATTGAGATAGAAAATTGGTTTTTTGAATACCCATATTTTTAATTCATGCATATGTTGAAACAGTGTAGTTTTTTGGGGGTTACATCCTAGAACGTGAGGTAGAAGGGGAATTCAAAGAGTGAATCAAATTGTGAGACATGTAGGGCTGGGGATATAGTTCAGAGGCACAGTGCCTGGCAAGCACAAGGTCATGAGTTTGATCCCTAGTAACACCTCCCCCTCCAAAAAAAAAAAAAAACCTGTGAGACATTTAAAAAATGACCTCATTAAACTTATGGGATAATTATGTAATTCTGTTGCATGAACAGTCTGATGCTGAGGTTTTAATGTGGCTTAAATATTGATGTGTAACCGTTGCAGTACTCACATTTAAAGAGAAGTCATAAAGGCAATGATTCCTAATTTTTTCAGAGTTAACATTCTTGGGGAATGTTGTCAGTCTCTGAGAGAATTAACAAAATAGTTCAGACAAAGAAAGCACAAATTATATTTATCACTCAGTGTTATATTTGCTGCTTCTCATTTGTTTTCTTTCATTCAAATTCAAAAGAGAAAAATCAAGTTTTTTTCAAAAAAATTTCTAGTTTTTTATTTTCTCCTGATATATAGCTTTGTGTGGTTACCAATGGAAATTTTTCAATACTTGGAAGAACATGTCTTTTCAAGGCAAGCAAAAAGGAAGATCAGAGGAGGGATTTTTTTTTTTTTTTTATAGTACCAGGGATCAAACTCATAATCTCATGCTTGCTAGGCAGGCGCTATGCCACTGAGCTATATCCCCAGGCTCCAGAGGAGGGAAATGTTACGTATCACTTGTCTGCTAACGTGCCAGGCACATCCTTAACCCCTGAGCTGTGGAGAGCAGGCTTGGGAGAGTGTGCCTCTTTTGAAGGAGTAAGGGCACTGAGACGAAAAGAAAATTGATAAGCCCACAATCTCAGAGCCAGTGAACGGTGGGGCTGGGCTCAGGTGTCACACCTGGGGGAAGGAACTACTGACACTCTTCCCTACTCAGAATCCTTCCTTTCTACCCTCCACTTGAGGAACTAGATGTAATACATTGTGTCTGTTGCACATTCTGGGGAAATTGGTAGAGGTTTCATTTTAGCTCCATTATGGAGAGAGAAAGCTGCATCTGCTGCCAGTTGCTCTGTCCTGTTTTTCACAAACTCACACTTAGGAAGGAAGGTTACAAATGTTGAGCCACTTGGTCCCTATGTTTCTTTTTTTTTTTTCTAGCTCTTAAGTGTATATCACACTGTACATTTAATCTCAAACCTTTTCATTTAGGAAATTTGCATTTACATTCCTTGCTTAAATATTTCTTCTGAAAACATATGTTCCAAAACATACCTGGGCAAAAGAAAGTGGAGAGGTATTAGGAAATCTGGATTCTTAGTTAACTCTTCTACCAGGTTTGTGGGATAGTGCTTAAGGAGTGAGAGTGAAGAGAACAGATTTGTGGCAGTTGCCAAAAATGGAATATGGATTCTCGCATAATTTCTGCTCCTCTTGTCCTCCATATTTTAGAGGAAATAAAGGGAAATAAATAAATGATATAAGAAATGCAGTGCATATGAGTTTGTGAGTACGTATGTTGATAGGATACACATTTTCAAAACCCTTCTCTAAGTTTTAACTGTTGTATGTCAGAAAAATTGATGGTCATCTTTTGGTTTTCCTGTCCAACTAAGTTCTTAGGCATTTGGAGCAGCTACGTTTTAGAGAGTCTCCAGAATAATCACTTTCTACCGAGGAACAGAAGAGCCTCTATTTATTATTTGCTATGTTCCCTATCACGCAGTCCTAGTAAAAGTTAGAAGTCTGTCTTCAGGGATTAGTAGAAATGTCTCATAAATTTCTTTTCATTTTCCTATTCTGAGTTCTCTACTTTTAGTTTCATAGTGCTGATTACTTTCTTTATATGGGCAATGCCCTGAAACTAGAATTAAAAACTTCCTGAGCATTACTGAGGGCCACAAAGGAATCTTTTTAAAGAGATAAATAAGAGAAGAAAAGACAACAGTCACATGTGGGTAAAATAAGTAGGGAAACTGCCTCAAACATCACAAGTAATTCATTTGATCCAGACTGTTTAAGCAGTAGGTAACTGGGAAAAGAAAAACATAAAAATCTTGTTCATTTCATCATGTAATCCTTCACCCACTCCTAGAGAGTCCTGTAAGACTCCTTTTCTTTCACTTTTCACTTCCAGCTTCCAAGTTTTACATCTTTGTTCTTTCTTAGTTCAGACCTCACCACTGCTTGATTATCATACTTTATCTTTGTGCCTCTCATGTTGCCTCTGGCTCATTCCCCATGCTGCACATTCACTGCCATATGAACAGATGCTTCTTTCTGGGACAAGTATGATGGCACGATTTTCCTCCTTCCCTAGTATCTTGCAGGATAAATCCTCTATGATATCACTTTATCTGCTTTTATTTTCCCGTGAATCCTTCTACACTGTGGAGTTCCTTTCACGCCCAGAGCTACAGTTTCCTGGTGATACTGGCTCTTTTCAACTGCCTCTTAACTGTTGATGAGAACCATTGATGAGAAAACCATTTCTTTATCCATCACCTGCTGAACACAAGCAATCCAGGATCATCTTTTCTGTGAAGCTTTTCCTCTAGACCAGACAGAACCCACCTCTCCTCAACAGATGTAGCGTGAGGGCTAGGAACTGCCCTCCTAACACAGTATTTCATTTAGCCACTGGAATTAGATTGCTTACTCTTTTTTTCTTTTAAATCCCCATCAAATACCAAGAACCAAATTGATAAATTTAGATAAATTATAGGATTGAAATATTTGTTGAATCAAAATAGTATCTTATTCTGTTGTAGTTTTTCATGGAAGTATATCTCATTGAGTGGTTCTGTCTTTTTAGCCCGTCTCCTTGTAATTTAACTCTGTTATTTCTTCATTGCTTTAAGCACACTACCGTCATAAAGTGATGACTTACTGTAAATGGTCTTTAGTCTTGGCAAACTGTAGCTAGTTTCTGGTAAGTCATTTAAAGATATCACAAGAAATGTGATTTTTGCATCAGAGCACCATCTGATCAAGCAGGACTGTGTTGGCATATAATTTTACACAGTCATGATTTTAATAGTCTCTCTTAGATTTTTCTTTTTTTTTTTTAAGGTATAGAAAGGGAAAAGAAGCTCAAATGTATTCTGAGCTCCCAAACAGTGAAGCCTTGCAGCACTATATATATTGCTATCAGATTCTGCCATGCCTTTATTTAAAAGAAAGAAAGAATATATTTAATGGGAAGTGACAAGCTATCTCGAATTCTTCCTCTCAGTGAGCAACCAAGAACCATGCATACTCAATGGATTTGTTTTTTACTGGCGAATCCCAAGGTTGGCAGGTGGCAGTTTAAATTCCTTTTTGTGTTTTTGCTTTCTCTCCTCAGTTGTCTCTCACTTGCAAGTCTGACATCACATGCATAAAATTGTAGTCAATTTTACTTATTTATATCTTTCCACATACATGTCAGTATTCTCCACGTGATAATTCTCTGCGCATTGCATCAACTGCTGAAGAAAATTGAGTTGGAGTGCCTACTCTTAGTTGATTTTACTCAGCAGTAGGCAAACCAGGTGGATAGGGAGAGACAGGAAGGAAGGGGAGGGGAATGGTGAGGAAAGGGAGATAGATTTGAGTATAAATAGATACAGGTATACTTATATTGGTCTGTATCTATTTCTATCTATATATTATAGTGAGGAGCTAGGAGAGAGGAATGGCAGGTGAGCTTTTAGTTTTATAACTCCTTGAGAAAAAACTAACATGCATCTAGATGTATTTCAATTATTAGGAATGTGTGTTGCCATTTTAACTGTGTCAGAAATATTATCAGGTAATGTTACAGGATTTTAGAGCAACAATTTTTAAATAGGACTGATGTGAAACTTAGGTTTTGTAGTTGCTATTCATGCTCTGCTTTGCTGAGATTGGTGCCATCTATGTTCAGCAAATCTTAGAAGAGTCATGGACTAGAAAATGCATGCTTCATTGCAGCATCTCATCTCCTGACGGACCAGTGGCCAGGCAGCCTCTGGAATTATGTTCTATCAGTCTGATAGCTGTGATTTGTGATATTAATTGACTTCTGTTTTTCTCTGAAGATTAAATGTAGTGTTTGTGAGACGCAGTTAGCTAATACTACGCTGGGGAGAAGCTTCTGACCCTCCCACGCGTAGATACTGATACAACAATTTCATTACACTTAGGCGGTTTTGAACATTTCAAACATGCTTTTCACGTGATGTGATGGTCATGTCTTTATTCTCAGTATGGTAGCATAATCATTCTGTTTTGAAGAAGATTACCAAATCGAAGTTGCCTAGCTATTTCCTGTTAAAAATCTGTGGAAGTGTATTGTCCTTACAATTTGTTAAATAAATATTTTGGTTGATTTAGTCTTTTTAAACTACTTCAGCATTTAAAAGTTTTTCCTACTTAGTGAAGAAAATACTGAGGATTTATAAGTAAAGATTGTTGGCAAATATTTTAGATCACAGTCATATACATTTGTATACAATAACCATATACAAAATTGTATACAATATTATATATTGTATATATTATGTTATAGATAACAGTATTCAAGATGTTCTAAAACTAAGAAATATAGTAAAATGATTTCTTAGTTTTTAACTTTGAATTTGAATTTCAGCTGAAAATTTGTATTCCTCTAGACTGTTTATTCCATTTTTTCTATGTGCAGAATTAATGTTACATACAGATTTCTGTTGAGAAATTTTCTGCTTTGACAGTATGACCTTCAGTATTATAAGTACCCCAGGGTGGAAAGGAGTGTCAGGAAAAGGTGCTAGATATAGAAAACTGACAGAAGAAGCTGATGGGGCAAGACTAATCTACAGAACAGGACAGCCAGGATCCTGAAACAATATGTATATGAGGTGGTTCTATATATTTATGATTCTAACTTCTTTTTAGTTTTGTAGCATTTAAAAGCATATTTCACAGTTATTGTAGATTCAAAAACATTGCTGAAGTGCTAATTGGTTTGATGCTTTTCAAGTCTCATAAATATTTGTAGTAGAAAAGTATTGTGAATCCTTTAGTCCAGCTGCTAAAGTGTGAGTCATACACTTAGAGCGCCTCATCTATTAGAATTTAGGCTATTGTTGTAATCATTTACAATGCTATCTTCAGTGATATTAATAATGTCTGTGATTGATATTAAACAATTTGAGCTTTTTTCATATTAAATAACGTGAGTTTTTTCATCTTTTTAAAGAATATTTAAAATGCAAATCATGGCCATAGTGATTCTTATAGTTTAATTTTTATCAGTATGACATTGGAGGTAACATTTTTTTTTCTTTTTTCCACAGCTGTGATTGGATTATTATACCCCTGCATTGACAGGCATCTAGGAGAACCACATAAATTTAAAAGAGAGTGGTCCAGTGTAATGCGGTGTGTAGCTGTCTTTGTTGGTATAAATCATGCCAGTGCTGTATCCTTTACACTGTAATGAAATGTGCAATAATAAAGCAGCTTCCAACAAACCAAAGATTAAACAGCCTCTTGCAACTGTACTGTTGTCATATTTAATGTGCCCACTTAGTGATCAAACAAATGTAAATCATATTCTTGAAACATCAGAGCAGTAGTTATGTAATTGCAGTATAGGCAATAGTTCTTCCTTTAAATTTCTGTTACTCTGTGTCATTTACAAATTTTTACACATTGGAAAACTTTTTTTTTGCAATAAATTAGGTTGCTTAATTACTTCTATACAGTCTTCTAAGACTGGAAGTCATATTGTCAAAGCAGGAAACTCCAATCATTCAGTGATTCAAATAGATACATTTTCAAATAATTTTTCCCTGTTTTTCTTCAGTGAAGATTTACTTATCTGGATGTGATGGTGCATGCCTGTATTTCCAGCAATTTGGAGGCTGTAAGTTCAGGGCTATCCAGGGCTGTGTAATGAGGTCAGTGCCAGCTAGAATAAGATAGCAAGACCTTTTCTCAAACAAATAAATAGACTTGCTAATAATGATTGGCAACTTGAGTTGTCATTATCATGATTATTATTATTTGAAGTACTGTGTATTGAAGTCAGGGACTGTACATTAAGCTACATCCCAGTTATTTGTTCTATTTTTTTTTTTTTTATTTTGAGAAGGGTCTTGCTATATTGTTAAATTGTTCAGTCTCAAGCTTGTGATCCTTCTGCCTCAGTTTCCCACAGTGTTATACTTTGTTATAGTTTGTGTCTAGATGTCCCCCAAAACCTCACGCAATCATAGGTGGGGATTTTTCTGAGGTGGCTGAATTTAGAGCATGTAATATAAGGATTAAGAGTTTGTAATTGCTAAATCAGTCCAATAATTGGTTTGGCATCATCACTCTGTTCCCAGTATCCTGCATATAAAAGGGACAGAAAAAAAGCTGGCAAGGACTCTTATTTGTTTTGCTATGAACTGTCCCTTCTGCAATGCCTATCTACCATGCTACCCTGCCTTGAAGCCAGATGATTATGGACTGAAACCTCTACAACCTGTGAGCCAAAATAAACCTTTTCTCATCCAATTTTGAGTATAGATATTATGTCTCAGCAACAAGAAGTAACTAAGACACAAGTGTTTTTTTATTTTTCTAATTTAAAAAAGTTACAATTTTTAAAAGCACTGTCAATGTTTTTAATAATATCAAAACAGGAAAAACATTCTTAAAAGTGGCATCAGTAGGGATATCTAATTTATACCTTGATCAGAAGTAACCATAGAGTCCACCAAAAAAAAGTATATCAGAAAAAGAAAAACTTTTATGAATATTTTAATAGTCAATTTATTGAGACATCATGAAATTAATACAGGTTACCTTTGGGCTGTATAGATACAAGAGGTGCTCAAAGTAGTGGCCATTCGCTGTATGACAAATGTTGAAGTGTATATACATTTTTTTTTTTTGGTGGACTTTGTATTTTTCCCTCTAAAGTATATGTTTTAGAAGTCTTACTATTTGAGGATTCTAACATTTTGTTTAGTGACTAATGAATATTTTTTGTAGTATCCTCATGAGAAAGGTTACATAGCTACCATTTCTTCTCCTTCCAGAAAAGTCTAGAACATATTTTTTTCCTTCATACAAGTTTTTTCTTTTGTTGTTCCCACTTCGTCTCCTGTCCCTCTTCCCTTGTCTGACTCTACTTTGTAAAAAAGGATGTGGGAAATGTTACTCCTGTCTTTCTTCTAAAATGTTTGGCCTGCACAATGAAGGTAGCAGGAACCTTGGAAACTTAGAGGAGCATAAAGTATGACTCAGGCTGCCAAAAGTTTGCTCTCTCAAACTTGTTTTGACTCAGGGCCAGCAGAGTCAGCTAGAGAGTATGTAGGTCATATGGCCAGTCAATTCCTGTGCCTTTCACCAGGTCTTGAAGTCCTTTTAATATTTTAGGGAATAGAAACCATGGGAAGAGGCAAGGATCCATGTTCTGGAAATAATTCCCTGTTTCACTGGTCCTGCAGGTTGGTGAATTTGAAAGTACCTCAGAGGCTGTTAGTTTGGCTTTGTATTTTCTTTTGAATTTCCCAGCATGTTTATTTTGGTAAAGTTTTTAAGATTTAGGATTTTATGAAATACAAATATAGTGGTTGAGAGAGTTTAAAGATCAAATCACAGACTGTCCTATGTAGAAGAGAACTTAGAAATCACATAGTTCCATTTTTTATTTTTTATAAAAGAGACAAGATATATGGAAGTTCAAGAGTCTGGATCATGGGGCTGGGGATTTAGTTCAGTGGCATAAGTGCCTGCCTTGCAAGCAGGCAGTCCTGAGTTCGATCCCTGGTACTGATAAAAAGGAAAAAGACCAAAAAAAAAAAAAAAAAAAAAGAGTCTGAATCATTCACTGTTTTTATATACTATACCAATCTGTAGCAGAACTGAAACCAAAGACCAGAACTCCTGGAGCCAGTATAGGCACATCTCATTCTCTTGCCCAGCAGCCTCATCGTTATGCAAATTCCTCTCTCTGCTGAAGTAGACCTTTCTATCCCAGTCATTTCACCTATGGCTTTTGTTTTTAAGTTGAGAAATTGAAATAACCTTACAAGAATTGTAAAAACTTCGTATACAATTTACATTGTGTTTCCTTTGTTCACTCTTTTCTTACTCTCTGAATGAAATACTTAAATATAGTGTCTTAACTGCCCTATTTATAAAATTCAAAACATTTACAAAATTTATAGCATAGACATATTAGGTTACTTAGACTTTGAAAAATAGCATGATTCTACTTTTAAGGTTGATATATTTTACTTGTTTTCGTCAAAACCTTTTTGTTTTGTTTATTGAAGTTAATTAGCAAAGATGGATCCTGTTAACATCAAATTCCATTCTTTATATGAATGTTTATTGTACAGAGGAATCAGCGTTCAAAACCTTTTCTTTAGAATTTTAGACATAATCACAGCTAAAGAATAAGACTTTTCCAGGAAGGATGCCTATATGAACTATAGGTTTCTTGATAAATCAAGCTTAAGCAAGAAGTGACCTCGAGGGAGTGACAGACAACAGCTCTCAGATACTGAGATGTCAGCAGGCTGGTTGTTCAGAATGCTGGTTTGATAAAGGTACTAGAATGGTGGTCAACAACAAGGTGTTGAAGGTAGCAGGAAATAGTTTTACATACATTTTTTTGGACTTGTACGTATAACATGACCATTTGTGAGACTATGATAGTTCCCTCCCGCTCCAAGGAGCTGCTTATAAAGCCAAGATATGGCGTTTGGGACATAGATAATGCCCTCTTAATGACACTTGAAATTAATTCCTTTGGTAAAATCCCCTAGCAAAAAAAAAAAAAAAAAAAAAGAGAGAGAGAAAGTTGTAAAGCTTTGTTCTGCCCAGAGATTTTGGAGTAGAAAAGGGCTGTGCATTTGTGAATAGATGCTTAAGTAAATGAAGAAAATATAATATCATTTGAGCAAACTGACCTATACCAGAAAGTCTCAGACATGAATATAGCTTGGCAGGTTGCGAGATAATGTTCCCTTCAAGGCTTTCTCCTCAACAAATTAAAACTGGAACAGTTGACATAATAGAAAGGATACTGTGTCCTTGGTACTCTTGTTTCTGAACTGCATTATTATAAAATGTGTCTGTCAGTAAATCATATAGAGAATGTGGTATCCTGTTAAATAGCTGTCAGCTTTTCTATTTTCAAGTTCCTGTATGATTTTCAAGTAATTCTGAACTTCTTTGAGAAGTAATACTGGTTTCCTTTTTTGCAAAAATGTGTTCTTTTAGCAATACAAGTGTTCTTAAATTTGCATGTGCATTTTTAGCAAAGAAAGCATTTGTTAAATAATGATCTGACCTTATATTTGGAAATGTGTCTAGATTTTTGGGAGGAGGAATAATAGGTCAGTGGAATTTATTAAGTCCCTCTTAATATCTGGTGCTTAGTAAATTCCAGAGCCAATTTTACTCCCATCTAATCACATATATTGAAAGATAAAAGGCTGGGTGTGCTCTAGAATAAACGATTCCTTCAACAGTGATACCTCTCATTTTAGAAAAGTGAGTGGATGACATTTGGTTACAGATTTTGAGATGACTCTTTAACATTGATCTCAGAAAGTGGATTTTGATAACAACATACAGTTGTCTCTCACACTGGCTGCACTCTCCATTGGACTGTGGTGGACTTTTGATAGATCTAGAAGTGGTTTTGGCCTTGGAGTAGGAATCGCTTTCTTGGCAACTGTGGTCACTCAACTTCTAGTTTATAATGGTGTTTACCAGTAAGTATTATTTTTTTTAGGTGCTTCTTTGCTAGGTAGATAAATGATAACAACATTCGGAATTGAGATTGAATCTGCAAAATCACTTATTTGCATTGTAATTATCTTAATGTTAAAATATTTTTGTGATTCTAGGTATACATCTCCAGATTTTCTCTATGTTCGTTCCTGGTTACCATGTATATTTTTTGCTGGAGGCATAACAATGGGAAACATTGGTCGACAACTGGCAATGGTAAACTAGCACTTACTTTGTTACTGTCGGTATGAAATATATATGAATTTTTTTCTAAATAGTGATCCTTTTAGAGAAGGTAATTTGTGAAGACAGCATTCTTGGATTTCTCTTTTACACTCATTGAAATAAACCATTTGGAAGAATTTAATCCAGATGTATTAAATGTAGAAAAGTTACTGGAGAAAAAGTCCAAAATACGTTAAGGATAAGGGTATATGATTTATTGATCACATGGAGAAAAAAGAAATGGTTGTAAAAGTGAAAAGGAACACTGTAATACTGATAAATTAGAATTCTAGTAAATCCAGTTGTTTGATCATTTTAGTTATGAAGGAAGCAACGTTGTTGATAACGTCAGTTATAGTAGCAAGGGTTAAACTATAAGAGAGACCATAGCAATTTCATGAATAACTGCTGTCACTATTTTAGCCAGCTAGGAGAATTGAGTGATTTGCTTTGCTGTCTTTTTAATAATCTGGCCATGCAATTATTCTAACTACATTGGTTTCCTTTATATAGTTTTGTGGCTATTCTTTTTTTTTTTTTTTTTTTTTTTGTCTTTTTCATTTTTACCGGTACCAGGGATCGAACTCACGACTGCCTGCTTACAAGGCAGGCACTTATGCGGCTGAGCTAAATCTCCAGCCCCTTGGCTATTCATTTTTATAGTTGTACTTTAAAATCTCTGTTTTGACCAGAAGCTTTTGTAATGTAATAAATTTTTTCTTTTAAATCATAAGATGATTTGAAAAAATAGTATCTGAGTTCACTACACCAGTCCTGTCCTTTAAGTTTATGGGTTTTCCTTTGCTGATTTGCCTTACCGAGCATTCAAGGAAACTTACTTTTTTTTTTAATATTCTAGTATTGATCTAAATTATAAATTGCTATCATTCGTTGTAATGCAGAAAAGTCATCTTTTACCTATGGCTGTTTCACTTCTAGAATGTGAATTAACTTTTTTCCTATAAGCGTTTTTTAACTGTGCTAAATATGTAACTCAAATTCTTTGAGGAGTAAAGTACACGTGTATTATTCATTTATAGAACCTTTTCTTAGCATATTTGGAAACTGCAATTCAAAGAGATTCTATCTCTTAACCTTTTAACTTTTACTTTTTGCAGTATGAATGTAAAGTTATTGCAGAAAAATCTCATCAAGAATGAAGAAGGCAAAAATATATCTTTTGTACAGAAAAAGAAGAAGAAAAGAGCATGTAAATTATATAAACAAAGTTTTGGACTGTAAAATTGCCAGGATGCAGTTTTTCCCTTGATTGGTGTGTATAGACACACACACACGCACGCACCCACACAGGCACACACACAAAACACACATTACTACTGCAATCTGTGATTGCTTCACCTGTAAATCAGTTATAAACCTTTATGTATTTGACTTAAAAACTGTAAGATATATGTGCGTTACATTAAAAAACATTGATTAGTAAATGCGTTTTTTAATTTCTTAGATATACCATACATTTTATTGCAATGTTAATGTGCCAAAATATTCTATTACTGTCAGCTAAGAGTCTAAGAATGCTTTGAACAATTTATAAACTTAGTGAAATAAAATAACAGGAATGCCAAAAATAAAAAGCAAATGGGAAGCCGGTATTTTCTCTGTCAGTTACTGTTGTGCCTTTTTGTTTTTCCAGTCACAGCAATTTGACTTATGAGTTCCCAAATATATGATTGGTTTTTATTTTGATGTTGTTTAGAGAGTTCAAATATTTCAGAATATAATGAAAATGAAGCTCCATAGAGAAGGATTTCAAACCTACTTTACTGGAAACAGCCAGAAAATAATTTTCTGTTTCAACAGATTTTATTGGAGTTACATGTAATTAGCAGGTGATAAACATCATTGAACTGTTTTGAGTCTAAACTTGGAAGAAAACATAAAATTAAAAGTTAGTGAATTTAACTAGAATAAATGTTTTGGAACAACAAAGTAAGCCTCTTGTCACAAAATGCAAAGTGATATTAACTGTCATTTGCAACACAGAATCTCATAGTGCTGTTGCACATGGACCGATAAGAAACTTCAAACAGATCAAAATGAAGTTTCTAATTCTGTTGGGTTCTATAGTCTATTGATTCTGTAAAACAAACCACTTAAGCTGACTTAGTCTTATGACTCATTGTCAGTGGCATGCCTGGACTTGTAACCTTATCAAGCAGTCTGGGGAAAGCATGGGTGCATAATTTCTTATGTACTCATGTCCACTAGTGAATAGTTCAAGTCTGTTAAAGGATGAATTGAAATAGTATTCAGTGCATGTTAAAGATCTTGGTAATAATTTTGGGCATGTCTTTTTAATAACTATAAAGCCATTTAAGTGTGGTTTAAATATATTCTTAGCTAACTTTCCCCCTAGTTTTTCTTTTTGAAATAATTGACAATGTCTGATACCCAAGAGCAAAATCTTCTGAATATTCTGTTGAGTGTGTGTGTGTGTATGATTGAATGAGAGTATATATGTATATATATATATATATATATATATATATGCATGTGCTCATGCTCTCCGAGAATGTCATGTAGATATTTTTAAATTTTTTGTTTTAAAACTTGCTATCAGACTGAAATCTTGTATGCCAGACTTTAATGTTTTATATTTTCAGGGTGAAAGTGTGAAAATCCTAAAAGGATTTCATATTGAATATGTATACATAAGCTTAACTATACTGGTGGTAAATATAATACTGTAATTTATTATTCTATCTTCCAGATATTGTTATTCATTTAGAACAAATAAGATATATTTTTAGAATCAACTTTTTAAGCACTATGAAGTCTTTAATAAGTTATAAGGTTTATGATGTGTTTACCTTGAAAATTGCTGTTAAAAGCAAGATGTATTAAATATGTAATCATCATTTGGCTAAGAGTCTTTTTTTTTTTTTTTTACATGATAAGTCTTAGAATATCGCCCTCTGGATTACCCTTGTGAAATTAATGTTTGATTGAATTTACTAAGAAATAAAGTAAAGACACAGTGTTAGGAAAATAAAGAATGTCATTGGAATTCTTAAATTATTTTCAGATCACCTGGAAAACAAGAAAGATTATGTTGCAAAAAATAATTTTAATATCTTGGTAAATGTATACATATATAAACCTGGTCATTTTGGGATGAAAAAAAAAGATTAATACCTTTAACATTGTTACCTTGGTAGTGCTGCTTTCCCTTTGTATTTAAAGTTACAGAAATTTGAATACCTGAAAACTGGGACTAAATTCTACAAAACCTCAGAAACAATTCAGATTAGCCAGAGTCCTGCTAATACTTTTGTTGTAAAATTTATTTATTTCTACTGAGCAATTTTATCTTTCTTAAGGCCACGGAACCTTTCAATGGTGCATACATGTCACATATCTTGCATTTTCTAGTTGGAATCCAGACTCAGTATTATTAAGTACTCTTGTATTCCTTTTGACTCATTTATGCTCATATTGAAATATATTCTGTGTAAACAGTTACTTGGTGCAGTCTGACAAGGGGACATTTTATTTTTTTAACCTGAAAAAGTCCATTTTATTGAAGAACACTAGGAGGCAGAATTCTAGGTTCACCATTTTCCTTTTCCTCCTTCAACACTTGGAAGATTTTTAACTACTTATATTTCATCATCTCATATGGAAGTCTGTGGTTAGTGTAATTTTCCTTCCTTTGTAGGCACTCTGTCTTTTTGCTCCAGGATATTTTACATTTTCTATCTATCCTTAAAGATCTTTTAAATTTTACCCAGATGTGTTTACATGCAGATTTGTTTTCATTTTCCTTGAATGGTATGCATTGTAAACATTGAATCTGTGGGTGCATGTCTTCAGTTCTGGAAAATTCTTAAATGTGGTTATGCACTGTGATAAAAAATATGGTGAATATTCACCATTTTTAAAAGCTATTACCGTAAAATATGTATCGCCATTAATTCCCCCAAATACTCCCGTCTTGCTAGAAAGACACTTACCTATCATTCTTGCCACTTTCTGAAGCAATTCTGGAAGTTTTGTTTCATGTCTTTAGTTGCACTGTCATGGCTGCCTCAGTGTCCTGAATCACTTCCATATGTTTACCTTTCATAGTCATTTTAACTTGGAAAAAGCCAGAAGCTGTACAGTGCCAGATCCAGTGGACAAAGTGGATGAAGACATACTTTTCCCTTGGGTGGCACTTTGTGGGACTATTCTTTGTATTTTGGGTCACCTTTTGGAATCATCAGCTTGTGGCTGGAATAAACTGTGGCAGTGAGTGACATCACCTAGGGAACACATTAGGTGAAAGAAAAAGGTCAGAGATGTACTAACACATTGACAAGCTGGCAAAAGAAAATGGTCAGGAGTAGGAGAAGACCGAGAGTTGTGGACAGAATGAGGCAGAGAGCAGCTAGTTCTGCGAAGTACATATGAAGGGTGAATTAAACATAAAGAAGATGGTATTCCATTTTCTATGTTGGAAATGCTTTTCCTGACATCTTAAAATTTTTCATTAGAATACCTAAAAATTCCATCAGAATTCCTAAAATGGTCTGGGGGTTTAGGTCTGCAGCACAAGTGCCTGCCTGGCAAGCATGAGGTTGTGAGCTTGATCCCTGGTACCAAAATAAATACCTAAAGCAATTTTTTTTATTATTATTATTTAAAGAGAAAAAAATTTTAAAAAACCACAAAGCAGTAAAAGGGTACAAATAATACAGAATTTCAAGGAAAAAAATACAGTAAGATATCCCTAGTTAACAGGTTACATATTGTCATCTTTGAAATAGTTGGCCAAATTATAAAATTAAAGCATGTAAAGTGAACATTCATACAATGACACTGCACACAATGCTGATCAATGATCCAACAAAAGTTCAGTAACATGGATTTCCATCCTACACACTCAAACATACATGCAGTTATATCCCTTAGACCATCTTCCTTTCTTCTCTTTTTAATAACAATTACACTTTTTTTTTACTCCCACAATTCTTATCATTTTTTGGAGAGAATAAAACCTAACGTGGCTAAACAAAACAGAGTCGGTCAGAACAAAAGGATGGGCATAGTACATGATGTAAAAATAGAATATCAGGTGATCTAAAATGGTTACCATTCTGCCTCTTGCTATTTTTTTAAAAAGTTGCCTATATCGTCAAGTATAATAGAAATGATCAAAACAGTACAGAACAAGACCAATAAAACCTACACTGGAGACCTTACAGGACTTCAAAAAATAATAGTCAAACCATAATGGGAGTCATGGTATATCTTATTGCCTTCAAAGTGGTTGCCTATGCCCTCAAACTTGATACTTTCAAACAAAACAGAATATAGAATAATCAGAGAACAAGATGGGGAGAGCAATACTGGGGTTCAAATCAGGTTAATAGGAAAACAAAAAAGTTACTATAATATGTCCCGCTATTTTTTAATTTAGTTTTCCCTCAATTGAAAAAAAATGTAAGAAAAAATAGATTAATTTTTAAAAAAAGGATGGGATTGAGGTAAAAGAGGACACTGTATTAGAACAACAAAGGTCAGAACCGAACTATTTAAGCATCATTGTGTTTCATCCCCAGATACTCTAACATAATAATAGTCACCATAGTGCCTCCTTCCTTGTATTATTTGAGTATAACTTCATATACTATAGCATCAAGCATATCAAGTCAGTCTGAAGCTATTCAGGAGAATGAAGAAATTACAGGGTATTTAGAACCAGTTAACAGAAAATGAACAATGGTTTCTATATTATCTCTTTGCCTATAAAAAATTTTGTTTATACTATCGCATATAGTAAAATATAGTAAGATATCACATGTTAAAACCAGTGGAAACAGATGTACAACAGCTTGATGGGACTTCAAAACAAGATGATATTAAACCAGTGCTAGCTTTTATGATGTGTTGTTTTCTTCAGAATAGCTATTCATATTATTATCAATACTAAAATCGAACAACCTAGGCTAAACCATTGCAATTAATGAGTGATAACATTATATGTATTAAAAGCAATATGATTGGGAATCATGTTTACCATATAATTTTATGTATTCTTATCATTTCTTACACTAGGGAAACTATTCAGTATTTATACAGGTGAGTTTGATTTATTTGACTTATGAGTATGGTCTCAAGAAGTGTCCATTTATTCATAAATATCTCAATGTGATCATTCTTTATAGCTGAGTAGTACTCCATTGTATAAAAATACCACAACTTTTTTATCCATTGCTCAGTTGATGGACACTTAGGTTGTTTCCAAGATCTGGCTATTACAAATTGTGCTGCTATAAACATGGATGCACATATATCACTGTGGTATGATGCTTTCAGTTCTTCTGGGAATATGCCAAGAAGTGGAATAGCTGGGTCAAATGGGGCTTCCAGTCCCAGCTTTTTGAGAAATCTCCAGACTGACCTCCACAATGGTGGTACTAGTCTACACTCCCACTAACAGTGTAGGAGAGTTCCTTTTTCCCCACAGCCTCTCCAGCATTTGTTGGTGGTGGTTTTCTTGATCTTGGCCATTCTTTCAGGAGTGAGATGAAATTTCAGTGTGGTTTTAATTTGCATTTCTCTAATGACCAGTGACGGTGAGCATTTTTTCATGTATTTATTTGCTGTTTGAATTTCTTCATCTGAAAATTGTTTATTCATCTCTGATGCCCATTTTTGGATTGGGTCTTTGAGTTTTGGGGATCTTATTTTTTTTAATTCTTTATATGTTTTAGACAGAAGTCCTTTGTCTGAGGGGCAGTTCACTAAGATTTTTTCCTAGTTTGTGGGTTTTCTTTTCACTATGTTGGAGATTTCTTTTGATGTGCAGAAACTTTTTAATAAGAGGTGATCCCAGTTATTGATTCTGGGAAGTATTTCCCATGTGGTTTGAGTCCTGTTCATGAATTCTTTACCTACTCCTATGTCTTCAAGGTTTTTACCCAATTTGTCTTCCAATAGATTTAGTGTTTCTGTTTCAATATTAAGATCTTTGATCCATTTAGATTTTATTTTAGTCGATGGTGACAGGCATGGGTCTAGTTTTAGTTTTCGGCATATGGAGAGCCAGTTTTTCCAACATCATTTATTAAAGAGACTGTTGTTCTTCCAGTGAACATGTTTGGCCCCTTTATCAAAGATAAGGTGGTTGAGTGTGTTTGTAGTTGTGGTTGTATCTTTGAATCTATTCCACTGATCTTCGACTCTGTTTTGGTTCCAGCACCATGTTGATTTTACTACAGTTGCCTTGTAGTGTAACTTCAAGTCATGGATTATGATACCTCCTGCCTTGCCTTTGCTGCTTAGAACTGTCCTTGCTATTCTAGGTCTCTTCTCACTCCAGATGAATTTTAGGAGTGATTTCTTGAGTTCTATGAGGTATGTTGATGGTATTTTTATCGGGATTGCATTGAATCTGTATAAAAGTTTTGGGAGAATGACCATTTTCACGATATTTATTCTTCTATCCATGAGCAAGGGATGTCTTTCCATTTTCTTTTTTTCTTTTTCCATTTTCTGAGATCATCTTCAATTTCATTTCTCAGTGTATTATAACTTTCCCCGTATAGGTCTTTCACTTCTTTTGTGAGAGTAATTCCTAAATATTTCATTTTTTTGGTTGCTAGTGTGAAGGATGTTGCCTCTCTTATTTCTCTCTCTGTGACTTTGTTGTTAGTGTATAGGAATGCTATTGATTTTTGAGTATTGATTCTGTATCCAGCTACATTACTGAATTTATTATATCTAGGAGTCTTTCAATGAAATTTTGGGGATCTTCTATATAGAGTATCATGTCATCTGTAAATAATGATAATTTAACTTCTTCTTTTCCTATCTTTACGCCTTTTATTTCTCTCTCTTGTCAAATTGCTCTGGCTAGTATTTCCAGTACTAT